GGGATCATGACCTGAGCCGAAGGCAGACACTTAATGACTGAGCCACCCAGGCGCCCCTAGACTTTTTTTTTAAACTTTGGAGATTCATTAGACACTTTAATTCTCCAATCAGAGTCTTAATTTCTCTGTTTCTCATCTTGAAGCCAAGCCTGTTTGCTACTTGTGACACCTCTACTAGAATACAGGCAAGAGAATGAGAATACAGGCAGTTTCATTTTTCCTTCTTGCTAATACTGCTGATTTAAAATCAAATAAATGTTCTTGGATAAGGAGAAAGTTGAATTTACTGGACCTGTGGTCTTTTTCTTTGTTAGTATGGCAAGTGAGAGCTAAAATTAGAGCAAAACTGTATTTTGAAGTTGCGTATATGTTTAACAATGGATTATAGTTATACCTTGATAGTTAGTGGGTGTGCCTGGTGCAGAATGCCCATTTTCAACGGTTGTTTCCTCTGATTGGGTCACATGGATATACTATAGAGTTACAACAGTTTTCTGTTATTTTTAGGTACTCCGATTCAAAATTCTTTAAAGGACTTGTGGTCTCTTCTTTCCTTTTTAAAACTTAAACCATTTCTTGATAGAGAATGGTGGCATAGAACAATACAGCGTCCTGTCACAATGGGAGATGAAGGAGGACTTAGGTAAGTAATTTCATGAAAACTGATTAAAATTAGCAACAAATAACTGTAAGCAGCTTGAACCAGTTATCACTTTGATTACTATTTTAACTTCACTGTTGTCTTTCTTCTCCCAAGAGCATTTATAGCTTAATGCCTTTGGCTCTTAGAACCTAGTGATTCTTGTTTGGGGAGACACTGCAAGTAAAACATAAGCCTTCCCTTTCTTTGATTTTAGTCAAACTGAAAGGAAAGGCAGAGCTTTATGGTCTTTGTGTGTTGCTATTGCCCTCAAAATCACCATTAATTGATTAAACAATGACAGGAAAAACTGTATGCCCTGAGGATCTAATATGCATTAAATTTTCACAACTTACCTTATGTAGCTTTATATAGTGATACTTGAGTGATATGACATACACTGGCATCAGCAAAAGTTTAAGAAAGGAAGTTCTTTCTCATGGAGACAGATAAATGAAATTCAGCTTAGTGATAGCCATTTCACAGGGTACTAGGCTAATATGTGGCTTAAGGTTTTTGCCTAGAGCAGTGGTTTTTTAGAGTTTGGGATCCATTAGGTTGTGAAATCCTTATAAAGATGGCATCTAGCATTATAAAAGAAAATGAAATAGAGTTGAAGATTTAAAGAAATTTAAATCTTCACACATAGTAAGTACTGTTTTGTGAAAGGTTTCTGTCGTATGTGTATGTGTTTTGATAATATACGTTTGCTGGATGGAATAAAATGTGTTTCTTACTGTGGTTACAGTGAAAAAGGTTCAAAAGCCACCAACCTAGTTTGTAAAACTGCTTGATTCTCAGAACCAGCTATGTAAATTCTAATTTAAGAAATTGTATTTATATTTCAGTGTCAGGAAAAATCTTTCCTTAAAAACCTTTCTTTCCTTAAAGAATTGATGTGCCTCCTTTTTTTCTGATACTGAGAAGGGAGTGTGAAGGTTGTAGAACCTAGACGGCATATCTCCCTCTTCTGAATAGTCACATCATGTTTTCATTTTTTTGGCATCTTTACTTTGTAAAAATTACTTATTTTTGTACCTTGATTTTCATATTACTGAAAAATCTTTTTGAAGGTAAGATCTTTCCTCACATTTATAGTTTTATGTTAGTATAATGCCTTTTACTTTGTGTACATACTTAAGAATGTGAATGTTGAATATTGGGTGATGTAGTTGACAGAAGTGAGAAGTAAAAAAATTAGTGAATAGAAGAAAAATGGGGAGAAGTTAAGAAAAAGACAGGATAAAAGAAGATTAAACTGTGACAGGTATTGAATTGAGGGCAATGAATGCATTATTATAATTTTCTATTGGTAGAATATGTCTGATTATCAGATTGTATAGAACTCAAAACAAAGAGATTTTTTAAAGAAAAACCTTTACTTTGATTCTAAAATAGTAATATATTAAAATACTCTTTTTTTGTTCTTGTTGAATCAACTTATATAGAAATAAAAAGTTATGTAATTCTTTGTTTTGTTTTGACTTAGGCGTTTACAATCCCTAATTAAAAATATTACCCTAAGAAGAACAAAGACAAGCAAAATTAAAGGAAAACCTGTTTTGGAGTTACCAGAACGTAAAGTATTTATTCAGCACATTACACTTTCAGATGAAGAGAGAAAAATTTATCAGTCTGTGAAAAATGAAGGCAGAGCTACTATTGGAAGGTATGGAAAAAAGAAAGCCATTTTAGGAAATAATTTTTATTTTCTTTCCTGTTTAACTAAAGTATTTCTTAGAAATGTTAGGAAAGTCTGAAGTATACTGAAAGATAACTTGCTTCTTTATTTAAATTCCTTTTTACAAATTAGTTGAAGTAAATGAAATAGTATTGTAATTTACAGGTAAGTTATTCCTTAAGTTAGGAAACAAAAGTTTACATGAAATGGCAAGTTCTGAGTGGCTAGTCAGAAGACCTTCCTTGCTTCTATTCCTGGCTCTTTATCATGGGAATAGATAAAAACATTGAGAGAAGTGTGTATATATATATAGTGAGAGATAATAAACCTATTTAAGGAACAAAACTTTGGGGAATGTCCGTATTTAAGAAATAGGGAAATAAAGAGAAATTACTGTAGAAGATTCTGTCAAGAACAGAATTAGGAAAAAAAATGTAAAGAAAACTGTTGGAGAATCCCATGAAAGCATAATCATGAAAGAGGGAATGGTCAGTAGTTTCATGTGATGCAGAGACTTAGAAAAGCTGTTTAATTTGGTGATTCAGAAGTTACCAGTCTAAACTCTTAGCATAGTTTCACCAGAATACTGAGGTGTGTACCAAATTGTAGGAGTAAGGGAATTTCAAAGAAGTAGCAGCTGTAGGTAGGGGTAGACCTTTTTTCATGATGTTTGCAAAAGGAAGAAGAAAGTGAGACTGGTACATAGGATTGATAGTTGTTGCTCTGTCAATTTTTTGCATTTTCTTTGGGTTAACTGCCTTGAGAAGAGAGCATAGAAGAGACTACAGATAGAGAAGAGAATAAAGCCAGTTGGTGGAGAAAATGAAGCCTAGTGGGGGGTAAAGAGTAGTCAGTGAAAAATGAGACAAGGGTATCTGCAGGGAAAGGTGTAGTGGGAAATTGAGGAAGATAGCAGGATTAACAGCCGTTCTAAAAAGTTGTGAGGTTCTTAGTGTGGTAGATAGGCTTGATGTAGAATTGGATACATGTAGAAGTCAGTATGACTTTCCAAACAACACATGAAATCTGGGAATAGGAACTAATGAAGCAGATAATAAAGGGATCGGGGATTGGTAGAAGGTGAGAAATTCTAGTCCAAGCGAGAACATATTTGATGTCAGTGCCCATGGGACCAGAATGAGTAGGAGACAGTGAAGGCAGAACTGTGTTGAGAAAATAGGGGAATCTTCAAATTCAGGCACTTCATTGAAATACAGAGCAGGTTTAACAGAAATTAGAGAGATTGAAAAAGATTGTTCTTACTAAGCAAGTGATTTCTTAGTTCAAAATCTTGCAGTGGTGATTGAAATTTCTTTCATATTCATTCTTTGAACCAAAATTTAATATGTGCCTGTGTAACACATACTGGGGTATAGCATAATAAAATAGATAAAAATCTCCACCCTCAAGGAGTTTATATTTTAATGCAGGGAACAATTTTAAAAAATTAAATTTGGTGGAAAAAAAATTAAAGCCGAGAAAGGGGATAGGGAGTGCTGAAACTGTTTTAATAGGGTATTCACTGAAGACCTTACTGAGAAGGTTCTATGTGGGAAAAGATCTAAAAGAGAATGGAGTTAGGAGATATTTCAGGCAGAGGGAACAGCAAATGTAAACCCCTGAGTTGAAAGAATATTTGGTGAGCTTGAAGAACACAAAGAGTTAAGTGTGGCTGGATAATATGAGCAAGATTTCATGATGGAGTGCGATCAGTATCCTTGCTCCTAATTTTTATTTGCTCTATGGCAACACTTTTTGGTGAGTTTTCTTTCACTGCCATTTATTCCTCCCTTGCTCTTTGCTGATTATTACTTATATTTGAATGTCTTGAGTTCTTTCTGGCCTAGCTATTTGCAGGAGGTTAATATGAACGGGGGGAGGGGGCATTCTGTGTCCCAGACTGGTAGGAAGTATCCCTATTTAATTATGACTCAGGGTTATATCTGAGTTGTTTTAAGTTTTATTTGTGCTTACACAACAAAGATCGGAAGCTGTAGGGTTCCTTATAATGTGGAATCTTGTGCCCATAATCTTTTCTGAAAACACAGTAGGTCTATTGTGTTTCCTTATTTAGCTTGCCTTCTTTCCTTTGTATAAAACTTGTCCATGCAAGTTCAGATCACAGCCATGCACCCTGTTTTTGTTTTTGCACAAGAAAGATCTTGATTTTCCCCTCAGGGCTTGCTATGTATTTTGAAGAATTGTGCTCTGGCAGGTCTGTTTGAGATCTGTAGTCCTATCTCTCAGCATCTTCCTATTCAACTTCTATTGCAATTGGCAGCCATTTCTCATATATTTTGCTTTATGGTTACAAATCTCTTGTGGTTTCATTAAAGGTAGTTTTGAAGTGATTTTCAGAGAAGAAAAGAACAATGCCATTTTTATTCCACTGTTTTAGAATCGGGAATAATATTGTTTAGAGGTCTTCATAATACTTAGCATTTTTTACCACTAGGTATTTTAATGAAGGGACTGTCCTTGCGCACTATGCAGATGTCCTGGGTCTTTTGCTTAGATTGCGGCAGATTTGTTGTCATACTCACCTTCTTACAAACACAGTGTCTTCCAGTGGTCCCTCAGGTAAGTAGATGTGATTTGTTTACACTGTTGTATTTGTTAGGGATATTTAAATCAGAATGAAATTTTTCATATGGCCTATAGTGTCTTATTTGTCAAATGGACATTGTTTTTAGAATGGGACACCAGTGGAATATACTTACAAATTCTTACCAATGAAATGGAATAATAGTGATGTCTTCCAGTATTTCCAGTGATAGATACTCTTAGATGGTCATTTCAAATTGGATCTGCCTTTTATTCTGTGGTAGTATGTGCAGATTGTGATGATGCTTTTGTGTAAAGTATATTATGTGGGTTAGCTACTATTTTAGCTCTGAATTTTCTTTAAATTAATTTTTTTTTTTAGATTTTATTTATTTGACAGACACAGCGAGAGAGGGAACACAAGCAGGGGGAGTGAGGGAGGGAGAAGCAGGCTTCCCGCTGAGCAGGGAGCCTGATGTGGGGCTCGATCCCAGGACCCCGGGATCATGACCTGAGCTGAAGGCAGACGCCCAACGACTGAGCCACCCAGGCGCCCCTCTTCATAGCCTTTTAAAAATGTGACATGATTTATATTTTAGTCTTGTATGATAAAAAGTATTGTTAGAGTCATCATTGGGAAAGATAATGCTTGGTCAGCACTTTAAGTTAAAATAATTGTTAGGTGAATTGGGATTTTATTTACTCAATTGAAGTAATTTTTTGAAGATTTATAGTAGAGAAAGAAACATCATTAATTGTTATAAGATTACGTTTGTACTTCTTTCTCTGCCATTTCTGTCCCACAAGGTAGGAAAGATATATAATTTAGGACTGCTACATTTACGAATTACTGAAAACTCTTTTCTAAGAACTACACTAACTTCTGTGTATATTAACAACTTGTAGCATTTAGTGAGCTCCTATGTGCTCAGTTTTTCCCTAGGCTCTTTTCATAGATTTTCTCATTTAGTCCTCACAACCATTAATCTCACTTTCTTGGTGATCAAATTGAAACACACAGAAATTAAGTAACTTGCTTAAGATCATCCAGCTAATAAATGATGGAGATAGGATATAGTCTCCAACATTCTGATTCTATTGCCTCTGCTTTTAAGGTTACCCACCAAAAAATTTTGTCTTTTTTTTTTTTCCCCTTCCAGATTGTTTTTCTATTCTAAAACATTACATTGGAATGGAACCTCTTGATGTATTATTTGTAAAGAGCAGCTTGGTTATGTTTCCTTTCCAGTTTGAGCTTCAAGCTGCATGTTACAATGAAATAACTACTCTATTAGAAGCATTGTGAACATAAAGACCACTGGATGTGAACTTCTGTTCTTGCCACGTCCAAGGTTATTGCATCTCTCCTGACCTTTCCTCCTCTAATCTCAGAGGTGGAAGAGGTCCTAGTCTTTGTAAGACCATTACCTCAGTCTGTACATAGGATTCCATCTCTCCCACCTTTGCATTTTATGTTATTTTTCTCTTTGCCTGGTTAGTCTTTTCCTACTGGCTTTTTCATGAAACATACTCGGATCTTTTTCATTTTTAAATACTTCCTCTTGATTATGTCTCACCTTTAAGTTGGCTACTCTTATCCTTTCCTTTGCTGTCATAACTTTTGGGGTTTAATTTTCACTTTGTGATTTTACTTACTAACTCCTTGTAATCTGGCTTCTGCCACTTGTTCTCTAAATTGCTTTGGAAAAGATTAGTAGTTATTCTCTAATTGTCAAATTCTATGCTTCTTTACTTCTTGACTTTTATGTACTCTTGCCTTCTTCGATTCTTATCTTTTTAAGTTTTTGGTATATATATTTTTTAAAATTAAACCTTCTGATTAGTGAGTCATTTTTCCTCTTAGGACCACAGTGAGGGTTAGTTCTTTCTTGCTCTTTTTTTTATTCCAACAAAAGTATTCTCTTTCTTTTGAGATGTAGTGCATTTGGGGAAGGCCAATACATGGGTACTAGAATGAGTTTCAGGGTGAGGTTTACAAGTATTAATGGGGGTATAAACAGTAGAACTGTGATTCTTTAAGAGCTTGGGTTGGGGATATGTATTTTAAAAATGGGTCATCAGTATTTCATTATAATTTTATATATGAAAAACAAAATTTTAGATAATATAAACTTCAGAGAGGAAACCTTGGCAAAGTCTTGCCTAATGAGATTATGGAAAAAACTGATTTTTATTTTTTTTTATTTTTTATTTTTTTATTATTTTTTTTTGAAAAAACTGATTTTTAAAGGAATGAGGAATGGTTGGGCATATATGGATTCCTGGTCAAGAATTAGAATTTTGTGTGGTGACTGGGTAGCTCAGTTGGTTTAACGTCTGCCTTGGGCTCAGGTTATGATCCTAGAGTCCTGGATTGAGCCCCGAGTCAGGCTCCCTGCTCAGCCGGGGAGTCTGCTTTTCCCTCTGCCCCTCCCCCTGCTCATACATACACGCACACTCTCTCTCAAATAAATGCATAAATAAAATCTTTTTAAAAAAATTAGAGGGGCACCTGGGTGGCTCAGTCGTTAAGTGTCTGCCTTCGGCTCAGGTCATGATCCCAGGGTCCTGGGATCGAGCCGCGCATCAGGCTCCCCGCTCTGCGGGAAGCCTGCTTCTCCCTCTCCTGCTCCCCCTGCTTGTGTTCCCTCTCTGGCTGTCTCTCTCTCTGTCAAATAAATAAAAATAAAATCTCTTAAAAAATTTAAAAAAATAGAATTTTTCAATCTCTCAATAACCTACTCTCTTCCTAGCCTCCAAGTAAATGACATAGCACCCTAATGAGCAGGCTAGAACTACCTTATCATCCTTTTTTTGTCTTCAGATAGGGGAGAGTCCAGTTAAAGGTGTAAGATACCAATCCCACTTCCACCACATACTTATTCTGGATATTTGGACAAGTTATCTTCCCAAGAGAAAATGAAATAACACATATTTTATTCACACACACACACACAACTGAAGCACAGTGACTAGAAACTCAATACTATCGTTCTTTCTCTAGAAAGTTAATTTTTTTCTATTTCAGGTCTAATCCTGCCACAAATTTGTTCTCTTCCACTTCAAGGCAGCCCATTGATTCAGTTTGCTCATATTGAATTCTTTCGCTTTTCCTTTTCCACCAGATTTCTTAATAAAATTCTCTGTGTTTTCACCTTTACTCTTTCATGTTTTATCTTTTCTTAGTATTTTTGCCTTTACTCTTTCAGGTATCATTCTCTCTTTAGCCCATACTAGTCTGGTTTTTGCTCCCACCCTCTATAGAAACTGTGAAGGCCTTCAGTGACCCCATTGTTGCCATGTCCAGTGAGTTCCCTTTGTCTTTTCCTCTGCCCTGACTTTTATTTTTCTTCTAATGGCATTTTGTTATGTTTTATTTTATAAGCCATCTTTAAAACTTTCTGTAAAGAGTGGGAATGAACATAAATTACAAGTTAAAAAATCAGCCTTGTATTCCTTCTTGAAATTTTGCTATTCTTCCCCCGCCCCCCAATTTTGTTGCTTCCCCAACTTTCTGACCACTGTTTTTCTCCCATGGTTTCTATTTAGTCTGCCTCCTCCCCCCTCCAAGGCATGGTATCTTTTTTGAAATATTAGGAAAACTTTTAATGAGATCTGCATTTACTTAACAAGATTCAAGAATTTCAAAAGTCTGCCACATTTGCTTTATTTTTATTTTTCTCTTTGCTGGAATATTTTAAATTACCCCAATAAAAACAGGCCCACTGTTTAAATACTGCCATTCTGTAGGTTCTGCCCCTAACCTCCTTTTCTCATTATGCCTGTTCTCATTATGCCTGTTCTTGGAAAATCTTACTCATTCCTATAGCTTCATGTACTATCTGCTGATAACTTTGTAAAGTCCATCTCTGCATTGTATTACAGATCAATATTTAATTTTTCCTAGTAGGGGTGCCTGGGTGACTCATTCCTGTTGAGTGTCCAATTCTTGATTTTGGTCAGGTCATGATCTCCGGGTCCTGGGATTGAGCCGTGTTGGGCTCTGCGCTTGGCGGAGAGCCTGCTTAGGATGCATTCTCTCTCTCTCTCCCTCTCCCTTCCCTCTCCCTCTCTGCCTATCCCCCCACTTGTACATTCCCACTCTCTCAAATCTTTAAAAATAAATAAGTAAATATTCCTAATATATGTGTCCAGTCATTCTGTAGTGTCCAAGAATTTTAAATGTCTAAAATAATAATACTTACTATTTCTTTCTCATTTTAAGATTTTATTTGAGAGAACAAGAGCACGAGCTAGGGGAGGGGGAGGGGGAGAGGGAGAGAGAGAGAATGATTCCCGGTTGAGCACAAACCCCCAACATGGGGCTTGATCCTAGGACCCTGAGATCATGGCCTGAGCCAGCCGAAGTCAAACGTTTAACTGACTGAGCCACCCAGGCACCCCATTTCTTTTCTCATTTTTATACCCACTTTCCCCTTCTTTTTTTAAACTTCCCCCTTCTTTTTTTAAACTTCCTTATATCTTGGGCACCTGGGTGGCTCAGTTGTTAAGCGTCTGCCTTCGGCTCAGGTCATGATCCCAGGGTCCTGGGATCAAGTCCCACATCGGGCTCCCTGCTCGGCGG